CAAATGCGACCTACCACGTGTCACATTTCAACAGTTTGTCACCACTCACAAATGAATTTTTTTTCATTTCTTTGATTTACTTTTTTTTTTCTCATCTTTTTCTTTTTGTCAATTTCTCAACGCCTTCGGTTTTCACCGTCGGCTATGGAGAATATCAAGTAGTTGTTTATGAGAAATCGACAATTTACATATATATAGTTTGTGTTATTTTCTTTCTGGCTAGTTTCTCATCAATGGCAAATGAGAGATTAAACGACTTAGTGTATCTCCATGGAGATCTTGAACTCCATATCATCGAGGCTCGGTACTTACCTAACATGGACCTCGTTGTAGAGAGGATTCGTCGTGTTTTCAACGCTTTAAATATTTTTGATAAGTATTATTATGCTTCTCCACGTAACAATATAATCACAAGTGATCCATACGTGACTGTTTGCCTAGCCGGTGCTACAGTAGCACGAACGCGTGTTATCTCAAATTCCCAGTCCCCTGTTTGGAACGAGCATTTTAAAATTCCATTGGCACATCCAGTTTCTCAAATAGAGTTTTATGTCAAGGATAACGATGTATTTGGAGCAGATTTGATTGGAATCGCAACGGTCTCTGCAAATAAAATAAAATTAGGTGAGACCATTAGCGGTTGGTTCCCGATCATCGGCTCGTTCGGGAGACCACCTAAGCCTAATGCGGCAGTTCGACTAGAAATGAGATTCGTACCATGTGGGAGAAACGATGGGATTACGTCATTGGGAGTGACTAATAGTTATTTTCCAGTAAGGCCAGGTGGGCATGTGACTTTGTATCAAGACGCTCACGTATCCCACGAGGATATGCCCGAGATTGAGTTAGAAGACGGTGTCTTTTACCAGCACGAGCGATGTTGGGAAGACATATGCCATGCAATTTTGGAGGCTCACCACATGGTTTACATTACTGGTTGGTCGATATTCCACAAAGTGAAACTGGTTAGGGACCCATTGCGACCCTTACCCAATGGTGGGAATCTCAGTCTTGGTGATCTATTAAAGTACAAATCACAAGAAGGTGTCAGGGTCTTGTTGTTAGTGTGGGATGACAAAACATCTCACCACAAATTTTTCTTTAACACGGTAACATATTTGGCTAGATACG